AGGGACAGGGAGAGACACAGGGACAGGGATGGGGACAGGGAGGGCACAGGTGTGGGAGTGAGGATGGGGAAGGGTTGGGGACAAGCACAGGGACAGGTGTGGGGACAGACAGACGCAGGGATGGGGACAGGGACAATCACAGGGACAGGGATGGGGTTGGGGACAGGGAGGGGTGTGAATCTTGGCCCGTTTGGGGGGGCTCCCCACTCCCAGTTTTGGGGCATCCCAACCCATTTCCAACTGGGGGGACCACCCCCTATTCTTTGGGGGATCCCACCCACCTTTTCCTTACCCATGTGGGGGTGGGGGTGGTGGGGGGTGTCTCCCCCCAACAGGGAGAAAGCAGCGACCCCCACCCCGCAACACCTGAACCCCCTGGACCTGCTGCACCGCCTGGACTCGCTGTTGCCCCCCGAAAGCCTCCTGGTAGCCGACGGGGGGGATTTTGTGGGCACCGCCGCCTACATCGTCCGTCCCCGACGTCCCCTCTCCTGGCTGGACCCCGGTAAGGACCCCCCTGCCCCCTCCCCACCTGGCCACGCTGTCACCGTAGAGGGGACACAACCGGGTGACGCCGCTGACTGTTGTCTCCGTAGGAGCTTTTGGCACGTTGGGAGTCGGCGGAGGGTTTGCGCTCGGCGCCAAGCTCTGCCGTCCCGACGCGGAGGTACGGGGACGTGGTGGTCTGTGGGGACAGTGGCCACTGAGCCACCCCCGGTGGCCTCATGGTGTTTGTCCCCTCCTCCTCGGTGCCAGGTTTGGGTCCTCTACGGTGACGGTTCTCTGGGCTACAGCTTGATGGAGTTCGATACCTTTGTGCGGCACAAGGTCAGATGGTGGCAAAACCGGGGTGAGGTGGCGGGTGGGGGGAAAAAATGGGGTTTTGTCCCTGTCCTGGGGTGTCACCGGGGCGTGGTGGCCCCGTGCTTTGTCACCTACAGACGCCTGTCATCGCGCTGGTGGGCAACGACGCGTGCTGGAGCCAGATCGCCCGTGAGCAAGTGGCTTTGCTGGGCAGCAATGTGGCGTGTGGCCTCGAGTACCTGGGTGAGCACCGTCCCCCCCGCGTTGTCCCCAGATTTGGGGACACTCGGGTGACCCCATGTCATCCTAGGGTAGATTGAGCCATGCCTGGTGGCACCACATCACCGTGGGGATGATCAGGCCATGCTTGGTGGCATTGTGTCACCCTGGGGTGGATTGAGCTGGGCTGGGTGTCACCATGTCACTCTGGGGAGGACCAAGGCTGGTGGCATCACGTAGCTTTGGGGACAGTCCAATAGTTCGGTCACCTCCAGGGACAATTGGATTGTGCCTGGTGGGGCTGTGTCACCTCCGGGAGGATCAGGCCACGTCTGGTGGCACCAGGTCACCCAGATCAGGCCACATCTGGTGCCACCATGTCACCTGTCACCCTGGCTCAGGCCACTTCTGGTGGCATCAGGTCACCCCAGATCAGGCCATGTCTGGTGGCACCGTGTCACCCATCACCCCAGATCAGGCCATGCCTGGTGGCACCGTGTCACCCCCATATCCAGCCATTCCCGTGGAGGTGACAGCGCCACCCCCCCTGTCCCCTCCCTCCAGACTACCACTTGGTGGCCGAAGCTCTGGGTGGCAAAGGCTTCGTGGTGGGTCGCCCGGACCGCGAGCGGCTGGAGGCCGTGTTCCGCGCCGCGCAGGATGCGTGCCGCCAAGGCCACCCTGTCCTCCTCAATGCCCTCATTGGCAGGACCGACTTCCGTGACGGCTCCATCTCCGTCTAGGGACGTCCCCAAAACCTCCTGGCTCTGTCCCCAACAGGGTGGGGACTAAGGGGGTGGGTTTGGGTGACACCAGTGCTGGACACACCAACCCAGGGGACAGCCGGGCCCCCCTCCAGCAATAAAACAGCCCCCTGTGCCCACACCCACTGTCTTGTGCCATCCATTTGGGTGCCACCACCCCTAAGTGACACTTTGGGGACTGTCACACCCCCCCCCCCCCATCGA